GGGGGGGGGACAGAACTTGTCAATCCATATATTAGCATCGTTCTGTAGGCCTGTGGCTCAGGTGTTTGAAATGCAGTTACTTTGTTTCTGAAGTTCATTTAATGTGATAAAGATGCAAAAATGTCTTCTGTTTCATGTGAAATACCTCTCCTTAGCTTAGGAGTCTTTAAATAGTTAAAATATGTTACTCAGAAGTAGAATTCACAATGTCTGTAATTGGTTACCTACATGACAGCAAAACTCACAATAATATTGTTGCATAACCAAGCTAGCCATCCAAGCCAAATCAACTCCTCCTTAAGTGACATGAAAAAATGAGATGTGGTTGGTCCAGAAAGTAAATAATCCATCTCTGCAACAGCAGCTGGTATAGAATTCTGTGTTTGAGGACTTGTAATAGAAGTTGTCCTATTGAGGACAACTATTGAGAAGTTGTCCTAACCTTTGTTGTTGTTGTTTAATAGATCAGAAGGCTGCAGTATAAGTGCATTAAGGGGGAAATGGAACTGTTATCCAGATGTCCATTTCTCAGACTCCATGTGCATAGAATGTGACTCTTAACATCCCTGCTTAAACACTGGTTTGCATTCGGTGCAGCTGCATACCACTACTGGGTTGTATTTTGTGTGCAGAGTGGTTGTTCGAAGGGGAAAGTATTTGCATTTGGGACTAAGTTGCAAGGGTGGAAGCTAGCACCAGCTAAGCCAACTTATAACTTTACACTTTCATAAACAATTTAACTGCTGCAGAATCTCTAAAAGTGAAATCATGCTCTTGCTTTGTGTTGCATGATTACATCATTACAAGCCTGGATAAACAGTCATTCCATCCCACCGCCTCTACCTTCCAAGCACCATTTATGATCAGATGTCAGTGTTGCCAGACTCACTGAGGTCTTCCATGGTGATTTTTTATACTTCAAGGACATAGACATTTTGAGATGTCATTTTTTATTATTACTCTGAACAGTAAATATTTCAGAATCACACCCAGCATTGCACTGTGTGTCCAACTTCTGGACCTGAGCCAGAACCGGATCAAATTTATTGTCTGTCCTGAGACTGGTTTCTGTCGTTAGTGATAGATGGGTTGAGATTTTTAAGTTCTGTTCGGTGATCTGTGTTCTGTTTCTGTTTTGACCTCTGTACACAAACAGTTCAGTAGGTTAGCTATCTTTACGCATTCTCATTTTACTAATGAGCTGTTCTTGCTTTTTCCATTTTAAGCAGGCAGGTTCCATTTTAGCAGATCATGAAGGAAGAGGGAGCTTCCTTGAAATAATTATTTTTTTCTTAGTCCATGCCCCCTGACACTTAAGCCTTTTCAGTTTTATTAGAGCATCAGAGATTTCATAGTGTTTAAAAAAAAAACAGCCACAATAAAAATAACCAAATGGTTTGTAAATCCAGAATATCTTTGCATGTTAGTTTGATTATTAAATTCTAGGGCATATCACTAGCTAGAACATTGAGTTACATGGGTCTGTTTACTACTAGAAATGTAAATACATAGGGTCTGCTGCCTGATAGTCATGTTTACTTTTCCTTTTCACCTTTCCAGTTAGCTGTTCTGTTATGTTTAAGTCAGGAGATTTAGCTTGAGTGTTGGTCTGAGACTGAATCGAGAGATTGGTCTCTTTGGAAGAAAGAAAATCTACACAATTTTGTTGTTCTTTAAAGGTACATGTCTCTGAGGAATTACTGAATCAGTCCATTCAGAGTTGAGAAGATTCTTTAGCTACTTGTAGATTAGATTATATGTGGATGTTACTGCATTCTTATTTTATGAGGATTAACCTTGGGGGTGGGGGTGGGGTGGGGGCAGTCTTAACAGAGTCTGAGATGACTCTAAGGTGCCTTGGAAGTTTTTAATATTTTGAGGTGAGAGTTCTGTCTTGGCCTTACCCAGAAACTGATGATCAATAAGTAATATTCCATTGAGAATAGTATTTTAATGAACAGGAATTACAAGTGTGTGCCTCCTTTTACACCTTCATTCTGAATGTATTTTTTTCTGATATGTAGATAAAAGCTTGTTATCTTACTCATCATGCTGTACAACAGTGTTAAGAGTTTATGGTAAGTTTGGGTTTTTTTTTTTTCTTTTGCTGCAGATCCATCAGGGCACAGTTCCTGTCTCATACACAGTGACAACAGTGGCTCCACATGGGATACCACTTTGCACAGGCCAGCACATCCCAGCCTGCAGCACACAACAGGTCCCAGGCTGCTCAGTGGTTTTCAGTGGGCAGCACCTTCCAGTTTGCAGTGTGCCTCCCCCAGTAAGTGGGTCTCAGTCATTACACCAGCTTCAGTCTCAGACATAGGAGTGACACCTCGGAGCTTCAGTGTCTGTGTGGTTTTAATTGTGTTGGAAATAGCTTTCCCCCCTCCTCCCCACCTTGTGGTAAATTGCAGTGGCATAGCAGTGTAGGCCCTAGAAAGCAGTAAGCATATGGTACTTATCTTCTGTCTTTATAGAGTATGACTGTTCATAGTATAGAGTCCTGATGGTTTTTAACTCAACCTAAATGCTGGCTTATGAACTGGCTTCTTAGCAGAAGCTATTCTGCATACTTTCAGATAGTAAGAGGAAGGTTTCTAATGCTTTTATTAGGTAGCTCACCTAGAAAAAAATTCTTATTTAGTGGAGATGTTGTTCATACACAAAGAAGTCTGATATTCCAAAGTCAGTTTTCTTCTGATAGTAATGAGATACTGAAAGATGACTAAAAGCTGAGAAGAGCTCTACTATTTCAAAATGCTCTCATAAAATGAATCAACATATTCTTTAATAATGACATCTCTCTATGCCTTTCTGGGAGTAAAATGAAGTGCCTTGACTGGCTAATTTGCTGGCTTTAAATTTGAAAGAAATTGAACTGTTTTCTCAGAATTTTTTATGTACCAGCTTGGAGATACCACTTTCCAGGTCATAGCATTCTGATGCTACCAATTAAGTGCTAACAGGCACCAGAACTGTTGAAGAAGTTTCAGCTGTACTGATAAAGGTTGCAGAAGCTGCTGGAAGTGACAGCTTGCTTTCCCTTACTTTTTCTAGTATAAATATGTAGTATAAAACATAAAAGCTACATACAGTGCCCAGTAACCATTTTTAATGTTGGTATAAATATTGATCTTTGCCAGCAGTGTGTAACCTAATGTTTCATGTTGTATATTCTGTGGCCTGAGGACATGAACACTGAAACAAAACCCTTGATGTGACCACCTGTTTCATTAAGGTGCTTGTTGAAGGGTAAGGGTAATTTGCATTCATCTTGTCCAGATGCCATTTATTCCCATGAGACAACAAGGGCACAACATACTGCTGACCAGTCTGGAATATTTGTGGGCAATTATTTCCCCTTACCCTTCATATTGGTGCAAATCTGTTACATGAGTCAGTGCGTATCCCTGAGGCAGGATGAGAGACAAGTTTTTTTCTTCTATTTAGTAGTGTTGTTAGTGGAGCAAAGCAATCTCAGACCAAAAGTATATTGGGGCTTAGGGAAATCCAAACAACAGATACTAATAATCTTACCCTCTACTTTGAATAGGTATATTATTTGTGTAATTCATAAAATGTTTTATAATTCAGCAATGCAGCTGTTTTTTAAATACATACAGGAGTAAAGCTCTAACCATGTTGGTTGGACTGAATGTACAACACTTGATAATCAAGTGTGTTGATAGGATGGATGCAGTGGAAGTGAACATAAACAATTCAAGTTGAGTTTATATAACATCAGCAAGCAGACTTTATCCTTTCTTCTATTATGTCACAGAATTGAGGAATAATGTAAGTTAGGCTCTGGTGGTTACCTGCTAAGAGCAGGACCAGTTTCCAAGGATGTAGATTTCACAACCCCTCTGACTGCACTCCAGTGTTTGACTATACTTGTGATGAAGTATTTCCTCTGTGTATCTGATTGCATTTTCTTTGTTGCAACTTGGTCCCATTTGTCCTTGTCCTTTCACTTTGCCCCTCGAGGAACAGTCAGATTCTGCCTATCTACTCTCACTAAGTAACTGAAGGCAGTGGTAAGGTCTTGGCTTAGTTTTCCCTTTTTAAAGCAGAACAAATCCATTTCTGCAGCCTCTTCTTTTATACAGTGTGCTCCAAGCTCCTGGTCATCATGTCTTTCAGTGGACTCATTTCAGTATGTTATTGTGTTTCTTTGGCACTGGAGAGGCCAGAACTGGACACAGGACTTGAGATATCATTTCACAAGTTCCAAATACAAGGACAGAATTGCTTCACTGAGCACACTAGTTACATTCTTAGTAATGCAGCCCAGCATGCAGTAGGCCTTTTTGACTGCAGAATTACACTGTGGCTCTTGTGTACTCCTATTTGATGTGTCCACCAGAACTCGATTTTTTTTTTTTTTACTGCAGATCTACTCACTAGCCAGTCAGTCTCAGAATGCTCCATGGAGTTATTTTTTCCCAGTGCCAGACTTCACATTTGTCTTTGAACTTCACGTTTTTCCCGTCAGACAATTTCTTGTCTATATCTGAAATGCAGACCTGCCCTCCAGCATGTCAGATGTTTGCCAGCTTCATCTCTGAACTTCCCAGTATTCTTTTGTTACTTTCACAATATATGTCTCTTTCACTGCATCTGTAACTATAATTGTCATTTATTGTCTATAACAAATGTCATTTATTAAATACCTTCATCAGTTTTAAAACTCCTTGGAAGCATATGTTCAAACAGCAGAACTTTTCCAAAAGCCTGAATGAATAAACAGATAGTTTTAGTTTCTTTCTGATTGAAGACCTCATTTACTGTAACTTTAACAGTGCCATGGGCATAGCACAGAGTGTTCCAAATGTATATTGGACCTATGATAATCTTTAGCATACAGAATCTTGGAATGAAACCTATATTAATATGTTCCCCAAAGTACCTCCTGTTTTAAAGAATGCTGTGTGATGGTCTACCTGCAAATTTATCTTCAACTATTTCAGATAACAGTTTTCAATTTAGTAAGATACAATAAAAATGTATTTTAACGATATAAACTCTTGCCTATTGTTTGTTTAGTTTGGGGGTGGGGGGGGGCGTTTTTGGACAAATTATGTAGTAGCTGAGTTGAAGAATAGTCAGCATTTAAGAAAAAAATAGTAGTCAGATCAAATTAGTCTGCTACTGTTTCAATGCATGTAAAGATTTTTGTTTGGTCATGATCACAGTAAACTGAGGTGATAGTTTCACCTCCACTACTGTAACCTGATTTTAAACTAGATCTCCTTACCATTGTAGTCAGTATGCACAGTATATGTTGTGTGACATGACTAAAAAGAAAAAAAAGAGAGATCAGAACTGTGTCCTCTTTCTTCTTAAGGTGTGATACCAATTACCTTATTAACTGCTCTTTTAACTGTCAAAAATGTGACAGAAATGGCTGACATTCTGATGATGGATCAAAGAGCAAGAAGAGAATGCAGGTTAGGTTTTCTTGCTCCTTCATATCTAGAGTTGGACGTAAAACTGAACACTTCCACAAGGCATGTTCCTGCTTGCCTGCGGTGCCTTCATCACTTCAGTGTTGAGACTTTAGTGCCCAGTGTTGATTTTTGTATGAGGAATTTCAAAGAAGAGAGAAAGAGGGCTATTTCCCACAGTAGCTGTCAGTTAGGGAGCTGCCTTCAGAGCATGAGGCTCCCCTGAACATGTAGAACTGAGCAGAACTTTTGACTTATACTTAGTATATGAGGCAATAGAGGTTTTAAGGCACAGGCTGACAGCTAGGAGACCCTCAGCTCCATCTAGAGCTTAAAATGTTTGCAAGGCTGTTGATTTGGCATGTAGTTTTGAAGGTCATGTGTGGTAAAAATAAAATTAACTAGGATAAATGTATCTGCTCATCACTTAGGAGTCTTTCTAATCCTGGAATATTGAAAATCCCTAACTGGTGCCCACTGACTTAATGAGAAGTGAGAGCTACTTCACACCTAGCAGATGTCCCACTATAGTACTTCTAGAGCCTTTTCTGTGCTAACTACTCTTCTTTGTGTATTTGAATGAGTTACTATTTATGTGTGTTTTGGAGGCTTTTCCAAGGAAGCAAGAGAACTGCTTTATTATAACTATATCTTTCCATAATATAAATAAACAACTGGGGTTTAGTGTGAAGAAAAGGGGGCTGAGGGAAGACTTTATCACTCTCTACAACTACCCGAAAGGGAGTTGTAGCAAGGCGTGTGTCAGTCTCTTCTCCCAAGTAACAAGCCTGAGGACAAGAGGAAATGGCCTCAAGTTGCTTCAGGGGAAGTTTAGATTGGGTATTAGGAAAAATTTATTCACTGAAAGGATTATCAAGCATTGGAACTGTCTGCCCAGGGAAGTAGTTGAGGCACCATCCCTGGCAGTGTTTAGAAGAGGTGTGGATGTGGTGCTTAGGGACATGGTTTAGAAGTGAACTTGGCAGTGTTAGGTTTACGGTTGGACTTGATGGTATTAAAGGACTTTTCTGACCGAAATGTTTCTATGATTCTGTAATAAATATAGAATGTTCTATAGAGCATGTTTGTGCTAGAGACAAAAATAAGTTGTTTTCATTTTATTTCAGGTGCTTCAGGCGTGCTCAGTCCAGCACCTTCCTGTACCATATGCAGCATTTCCACCCCTCATTACTAGTGACCCATTCCTTTTGCATCCTCCTCATATATCTCCACACCACCCTCCTCACTTGCCTCCTCCAGGACAATATGTTCCTTTCCAAGCACAGCAGTCACGGTCGGTAAGTAATGCTTCCTACCTCACTCTCTATAGAATTGGTGGGGCTGCATGGGCAAATAGTGCTGGTATGTGATTGAGGAAACAGAAGGATTTTGTTTAAAGTAATAGTTTTTTGCACTTACACTTCCTTAGGAAGTCTATAACCCACTTAGTGTGAAGATGAAAAAATAATTTTGAAGTTCACCTTGTTTCTCTTCAGATTTTATCGTCTGCTGTCTGTGCTGTTTCTCCATAGGCCTTTACTTCTGTCAAAAAGATGTATATTTGCTTCACCAACTATTCCTTCAGGTATTTGTTTCCCAGGAGGCAGAATAGAATCCAGAGGAGGTTGTGTAGTGTAGTAACGATCTCAGAGAAAAGCTTAGCAGAGAAAGCAATAAGTATAGAATGTCATTTTCACTACATGCTTCTTTTGCATTACTTTTCAGTTAATTTTTAAATGACCAGTGCTTTTCATAGAACATAACCACTGGAGGTTATCCAGACATATTCAGGAGCCCACAGTCTCCCTTCACACGCCCCCCTCCTCCCCCCCGCACCCAGAAGTTATTGATGCCTTCTGCGTAAACAGACTTGGCTTAGTGATAGGGACTGTGCAAACAGGGGAAAATTTTACATTGTTTTGGGTTTGGAGGGAAATTAGATTTTCAGTTCTGGCCTACATCTCTTTCTGTGGGGTTATTTGTATACTTGCATCCATTTGTTTGCCTCTCTGACTAGAAGACACCAGTATTTCACTAATGCAGAAATAAAAAACAGCTTCATTGTTACTTACAAACAACTTCTCCATGCCATGTCTCGGGTGTCGATAAGGTTGTAATCACTTTGTTGTTATGATGTGAGAACAACTGGGAAAATACAATTTTCAGTAGTAATTATAAGACTTTCCTTTAGAAAATGTATGGGCTTGGGTTTTAGTTTGAGTTGCTTACTTAAGTTATTGACTAGACTTGCCTGTCAACTTGCAGCTCTGGTAAAAAGCTTGTTTCTTAGTGATTTAATAATACCTTGTGCTTAAAATATGCTCTGCATAACAGGGAAATAGAATTTTCCTTTTGCTCCACAGGGTGGATTTCTTGGCTCAGTTTCTGAAAATGGTAGAATTCAGTGTCAGGAACAGAAAAGTGTACTAATGAAACAATTACAATTCCTAGTTATTTCTTGAGCACATTTGGGCCTGACTGATGTACAGTTGACTAGATTACAGTAGGAAACTGGAATTTCATGCTTCTGAAACCTTTGGACTGTGTGTTCTTAGTAGGGCTGCTTGCTTGACCCTCCTAGCATCTGCTTGATTACTAAATAACATTAGCAGTTTAATCCAGTGGAGTCACCATGTTTCTCTCCACTTTTCAGATTTTCTGGCACAATTTCAGTTCTTGTCTATGGTTGTTTATTTTTTTCTCTCGCATAGTTGTACAGTGAGAACAGCCTGGCAAGAAGGAGAGCAAATATTTGTCCTGAAAAATGCAAGACACAGGAAATTACAGCCACTCCTATATTTGCTAGATCGCATAAATTCCTGGTCTATAAGCATGGCTAGCTGGAAAAGGTGAATTTATATCAAATATGTAGTGTTGTCTTTGCTTTTTGGTAGTGTTAATGACACAGGAATTGTTCACAGAGTTACAATGTGAAAATGAGTACAATTGTACCTGTATTTTTTTATTTATATTTTATTTTATTTTACCCTATAAAATTGATCACAGCAGCTCAGAATATACAGCTGGCATTGCAGTTATTTATTGGGGAAAGATTGAATCTCTATTATTGCAGTGAATCCTATCCTTTTTTCTTTCCCTTTTTTTTTTTTTTTAGCCACTTCAAAGGATAGAAAATGAAGTAGAACTGCTTGGAGAACATCTTCCTGTAGGAGGTTTTACATACCCTCCCTCAGCCCATGCACCAACATTGCCTCCCTCAGCTCCTCTCCAATTCTTAACCCATGATCCTTTACAGCAGGAGTTGTCATTTGGTGTAGTAAGTACTGTTTCTGTTGCTACATTCTCGTTAATGCTGCATTAACATTCTTGATCTTCATTCCAGAATACACTTTGTTGAAAAGTGACACTTCTTACAGTTGTATTCTATTATTGGCTATAGCTGCATACCACAGTATTTAAGTTTGTTTTAATCAAGGTAAGGGTAACTTAATGATACCAACAAATGATTTCTGATAACATTATCTGCAGAGTGTTGTAGCAGTTACTTAGAAAATGTTCTGCTTTAACACACAGTCCAGGACTTCTACTGTAGAAACTAATTAGTAGAGTTTTGAAAAGCTGCTGTCACTTTTAGCTAATTCTTTATTGTACATTGAGTTTTCCACAAGTCAGGAAAGATTTTTAAATGCTTTAAAATAGTTCTTTTCCAGAGTGTTAGCAGTTTGTAGGCAAGCAATTGTATACAGTGCTTCCATAATTCAGACTGTACCTTGTTATAAAGACAGACAGTCTTGCTTTAAGCCAAATTTTGGGGGATCTACAGGCAGTTCAACTGCAGCAGCACAAAAAAAGTCAAACCTGATGCAGGATAAAGTTTGTGCTGAATTTTACACTTCTGTGGTGTGTCCAGTACTGGTGCTACCTCTAGGATCTTGGTGGTACACCTCAGTCTGCAATTATGTTAGTCCTGAGATGTTTTTGTTGTTGTTTTGGGTGTTTTGTTAAAAAACAAAACAAACCAAAACCCTCCTGCCTGTGTAATGCTTGAAGAAGTAACTAGAAATTAAGTATAGGTTCTGATTTTATTTTTTTATGTTAGACCTGTGCATCAAGTTGACAGAATGTTTTAGAGTCATATTGTCATTTAACATTTTAAATGAAAGTGAAATATTAGGCCGTGTGACTACAGAATATACAGATAACTTTTTTTTAATTAGCCTCTTTGAAATCACACAACCTAGTTAAATGCTTGCTGCAGTTTTTATGAACATTTAAATAAGTCTCCACCATTTAAAAAAAAAAGTACTCAGCTAACTGTTAAACTAAAGGTGTACAGATTTTCAGTAAAATTTCCAGTGACTATAAGTCACTCTGGAGACAAAGACACTTTAAAACTTCCATTAACTGCTTGTATTTTATTCACTATGCTTGTTAGATGAATTACAGTCACAAACATTTTGGTTGGAGTGAGGCTTGAGGAAATCAAGAAAGATTTCCAAGTTCAGTTTTTAAAGTAGATGAGGAACAAAATACCATGGTTTTGCAGGTTATATAGCATGTGTCCTCTCAGATACTTCAGTTCCAGGTTGTGTATCACTGAGGAGTGGAATAGAGATGTATTACAAGTAACCATATGCTTTTTTATAAAGCAGTCCTAAATTTTTATGAGAATTTATTTATATTAAAATTGTGATGGCATGGCTGCATCTCTGATTCTCTTTCATTCAGTGAACACTATCTAATTATATTTTTGGATTGCAGAATTCACAAAGCAGTAAAATTGGTATTTACTGTGTCTCAAGAAAAAGACCCTGGCTCTTTGCATTGTGATTATATTCATATATAAATTTTATGTATGGCCATGGCTACCAACTAATAATGTTTCCTTTGTAAAGGTAGAGGATTTTAGGTTAGTCATTGCTGGTGGTGGGTTTTTGTGTTTTCTTAAATTTCAAACATGGAATAAGAAGAAAAACATGTTTGTGAAGACTTTGAATGTTCTTTGTTTAAAAAAAAAGTCTCAAAGCCTTCTAATATGAATTCATTAGTGGTACATGAATTTCAGTTTTAAAATCACTAAAAAAATGTCATAGTTTGAATATTTCTGGAAAAATATAGTAAGTGGAAATTTTTTACCATGTATGTCTCCATTTTTTAGGTAATGCAAGGAATTTTAAACACTCATAATGAAAAATATACAAGTAAAGAGCTTAGCATGCAAATGAAAAAAAGTATTACAATAAAGCCTTGTTTTATCTATGGAAAGACAGGCTTTAGGCTTGACTGTCTCTTTAGGCATTGTCCAGCTGTAGAAATTGTACTGATTAAACTCTACAAGTCCACTCGAAAGACTTCAACCCTTCTTTGACATAAATGTAAATATACACCACTGCTTAAAAGTTTGGTTGGTTGGGTTTTTTTAAAGAGGGGGGTTTAAAGTCTTTTTTTTTTTTTTAAAGACTTTTCTTCTTTTTTGTTTATTTTTTAAAGGCTTGTGGTGTGTTGACCCTGGCTGGATACCAGATGCCCATCAAAGCCCACTCTATCACTCCCCCTTCTCAACTGGGCAGGGGGAGAAAAAAATGTAATGAGAGGCTCATGGGTGGAGATAAGGACAGAG